GGTTGTTGTTTTGTTTGGTTTTTTTCCCCTGAGGATGCCCTGTTTGCAGTCTTTGCTGCTGATTTTGAAAGGACAGCATCTCCCAAATCAGTCTATGAAGAAAAATAATCTACCTCTGGTTGTTGCTTAATGCTTGTGCAGTCCTGAGCTCAGATTATGTGGTGATGGTCTGCAGCTGGTCTGATGGTGGTAGGAGAAACCTGTGTACTGGCCCCAGGGAGAGAGATGTGGGAGGGCAGCTGTGGAGCAATGCTGCAATTAATTTAGCTGAGTCTTGCTCTTATAAGAGGATTCACCTGTTCTGTCTTGAGGTCACCACACCGCAGCTCCCCGCCTTTGCGGTAGCCTAATGTGGAAGCTTGTGCTTGCTTGTTCCAGCTTTTTTCTCAAATACCTCCCTGTTGTTTTAACTGTAGGAAAATTTCAGGGAGAGGGAGATAATTCAGCTGGTTGTGAAACCAGCCCTCCAAAATCTAATGCTGCCACCATGAAAACAATAGATAAAAGGGACAGACGAGAGAGGAGGAAGGGCAAGCATATTTCGGAAAAGCTGTGCTGTTTTTGGCTCCAGCCAGCAGTTTGCATAGAAAGTAGTTTATTGTCAGTGAGAGCTGAGGATACCTGCCAGCTCTCTGGAGGCCTGTGCAGTATGCCAGGGAAAGGCGGTGGTGACAGAGCTGTCCCCTTGATTGGGGCAGCCCCCAGCCCATCACTCTTCCCACTCCAGTTTGCTGCTCCACGAGCACCTTCCCTCTTGGCTGCCTTTCTGCCCCTCAGTGTTGTTGGGCCGAGCCCTCCCCTGTGGTCAGTGAGTTTCTGTGCCTCTGCCAGCAGTGGGTTTGGGTGCTCTGGTCTCATTTGGCTGGCTCGAGTGTGCTGCCCAGCTGTGCCACGGCCTCCCGTGCCATCTGTCCTGTGGGAGGGCAGGGGGACCCCCAGCTCCACGCCAGCCTGCTTTGTCCCCAGTACAGACTGGATGTCTGCTCCGAGGTCCTGCTGCCCTTCTGGCTTGTTGGGGTTCCTGTGCCTTGATGCTGGAAATAAACGCGCTTGTGAGATCAGAGTGCAGTTGGGGAACATGGGGATGTTGTATAGCACTGTAGCGTTCTTTGTGCTGGGAAGCACAGCCAGGATGTATTTGGCTGTGTTTCTGCAGCACTGCGAGTTGTAAACTCCAGCTAAAGCCATCTGGAATAGCGTAAGGAGCTCCTGAGTTCCCACGTGGAGATCTGGGTCACACACACAGCGATTTCAGGAGTTCTGAGCAATCTGATCAGTTGTTCTTTCCACTCTATTTCATTTTCTTGATCATAAGTGGAACAGATCAGCAATGTTGCTGGAGAGGCTGTTCTCACCAGACTGCCACCCCAGCTTGGCAGGGACAGGAGTTCCCAGCAAACACACACTCGTGTGCTCCCTGTCTTATGTAAAGAGATGTGGACACTGGAAATGCACTGTCTGCATTGTCTTATTTCTGTTATGAAATGCAGAACAGGCACAAATACAGGGAAAAATGACTCATGTTCTACTTGTCCATGGGAATATCTCTGGGAGGAAGCGCAAGTAAAGCTCTCCAGAACCCGGGTTCTGAGCGTAATGTAAAACTGGTGCTGGGTAACTGGAGTTGTGGAAAATACCTTGTGGCAACGTTCAGTGCTTAAAAAAATACTTCATTCTCTTTGAAATATGCTATGGTACAGCACTTTGGAAAAATTCTTTATTGTTGCAAAGTTTTAGAGGCTGTCACGGTATTTCAGTATAAAGCCAGCAGAACTTTAGTAGAAGTGTTCAATCTGGCCTGCCCAAAATGGCAGTGTAGCTAATGTGGGATGTTTAGCAGTCTTTACCTCTGCTGAGGAAATGAAAAAGTCTTTGTCGTGTTTCCCATTAAAAGTCATCCAATCCTGAATAACTGCATTTGAGAAAGAAAACTGTTGGCTTTCTTTTTATATCTTTTCCTTGGGAACAGGAGTTTGGCCGTGGTTGTGGTGGTGGGCTGGGTTCCTGACAGCCCTGCTGTGGGACGCTGCGGCCAAGGTGATGTCCCCGGTACGTGTGCCTTGTGCCAGCACCTGAAGCAGGGAGAGATGCTGCCAGGCCAAATCCATGGTGCCCCCTGTCCAGTGGGACAAGTGAGGTCCCTGCTGTATAGACAACCACATGTGAGGGGTTGAACTGCAGAGAGTCAGCTCCTCTTTCACTGAATCTGCCAAATTCCACACGAGTCCAGCTTTCTGAGTTGTTTTCTGGATGGGTAGGTGGGAGCACAGCTGGTGCCGCAGGGCAGCCCTCGAGCTGCCTCCACCACACCACAGGCACTCCTGTTTCGAGTCATGAAGTGTCCTTGTTAGCAAGGTTAAAATTTTGATGTGTCCCTGTCTTCACAGGGAAATCCTTGGAAGGCCAAACCTTTGAAAAAGCATCTCCTTTCATCTCTAGCTTCTATTTTCTATTGCTCTGTTGAGCAAAATGTGTTTTAGAGTGGAGATACCTTAGGCGGGATTTTGGGGGCAGTGAGCTCCACATCGTGCCGTGGGACAGCTGGCTCTGCTCAGACCTGGAGGTTCCAGATCAGAGCTTTTCCTGGTGTAAGTCACAGCCATCCCATCGAGCTCAGCTGTGAACCAGCTCTGCTGCTCTTTATGCTGATTTTTGTCAGTGCTGGATGTAGCCTTTATAAACACTTCTATTGCCAAATTAAGCTTTTCCCCTTCCAAAGTCACCTTAAATGACTTTCTTTTTCTTTACCCCTTGCTCAGAAGAGTTTACCATCCGAGATGTAATGGAGGGAGCAGGAGAGGTTCTGCCAGAGCCCGGGGGCCGTCGCAGTCCTTGCGTTCTCCCTTGTGCCATTTCTCTGTGCGGTGACACCCAGTGAAGGATCAGCTGCTTGGAGAAGAGTTTCTCTGCTTTGAAAGCAGCTTGTATGTGGAACTGAAACTGCTTTGCTCAGATGACCAGAATGTTTGTTGTTATGGGAGATGCCTGGTGCTGGACTGTGGCTTGTGCTCCTTCTGGGAAACGCAGTCCACTTCCGTCAGCTTGAACTTACTGGTGCTTACAGACCAAACTGACAGCAAACTCCCTTCTCCAACATTAGTAGAGCATAGTAAGGACAAAGTATTTGAAGCTTCAAATGATGACATTTAGTTGACCAAGTTAAGTGGGTTTTTTTGCATAGAAAACAGGGTGCTTCAGGCTGTCAGTGCAGCTGTGGCTCTGCCACCAAATGTGCACCCAGATTCCTGATGATCTGTGTGGGAGTGCTGGTCCCAGGCACTGCTGGTGACCTGGGATGGGTATTTCCAGGCAGCCCCTTCCCAAGTGTTCTTTCCTCACTGGTAGTGTGACATGGAGCCACCTGAGCAGATCATGATCTGGGCAGCAGAGACAAGTCCCAGGCTGGTCACTTCTCTCCTCAGGATGTGCCAGGAAACCTAACAAAAGAGAACCTTTTCCTTTGTCCTTAATTACCCTCTGAGACATTGCCCCAAGATTTGAATCTCAGTTTTTGCTCTCAATCTGTCTGCAAAGTGCTGGACAAAATGAGGAATAGTTCAGAAGTCCTTGTGAGAAAGTCCACGTTCTGCTTGGTGGGAAGGAGATGGGTGGGTGGAAATCCTGCTCAAATGCTGTTGGTTATTAGAGGGGCTCAAGGCCTCTGTTGCTGATTTGGTGTCTGTGCCTGCTCAAAGTGGATGCCTTCTGGCTTAAAAAAAAAAAAAAAGAAAGGTTTTTTCTTCCTCCCTTGAATCTGAACTGGCATAGGATGCATGGAACTGACCCATGAGTGTGTGCATCCAGCTGACTTAGGCAGACATGGCATGTCCAGGGCTGACCAAGAGTATTGTGGGAATCAGTCAGCTGGTTTTGTTGACATTGCTGAAATAGAGCTTCACTTAGCAGCACCAGGGCAAAGCTGGAGAGGAGAGCAGAGCAAGGGGAGAGTCAGGAGTAGTGAGACCCAGTAATGCCCCTCGTGTTTCTGGATGTTTCTGGTGACTGGAGGCAGGCAGGCTGTGGAGGTGAACTGGAGGCGTACTCTGGCTTTGGGGAGATGGTGCTGGGTGGGAGTAACGGTGCAGTTGGGTTCTCTGAGACCTGTGTTGAGAACCAGCATGACTCACGGAGAGATTTCCGTCAGCTGCTTTGTGCTGCGCGAGCAGAACCTGAAGGAGGCTGCAGATGTCACGCTGGTGAATAAAGGCTTCCTGATGTGCTGGAGAGCTGTGTCGTGCGCACAGCCAGCCTCCCCAGGAGCGTTCCCACTGATGTCATCAGGCTTGGGCATCAGGTATGAATGTGGGCCCCTGTTGATCACTTTGGTGATCAGCTGTTCAGACCATTATTGCAAAATGTGAGTGGAGAGCCGCAAGGCTGCTCTGGGCATGGCTGCTGTGCTGTCCCCAGCAGCCCCGTGCTCCACTGGGCAGAGCTTTCCCAACACCTGTGCAGTGCTTTAGTCATTCACAAAAGAGCCTGCCTAGCTGTGTGTCAACCACAGTGTTGGTGAGGCCTTGTGCAGCACAAAACTGGCTGTAATCCTGAGCAGAAATGGCTTCAATGTTGTAGAAGCGTGTGCGAAATCCAGCTGGTCCCTGACTCAGTTTTGCTGGTCCCTAACAGCAGTGGAATGTGTGCTGTAAGTTGAGGTGTTGTGTGTGATGTTTTGTGGGGTTTTTTGTTGTCATTTGATTTTGGGTTGCTTTTTAACCAAAACAGGGTAGTACTCCAGTTTTAAACTGATTGATGCTTACAACTCTTGTGAAACCATAGATGCTTTTCCAGTATGAACTGTCCAAGATGTGGAGGAATGCATCTGACTCCCGTGGGATGGGGAGCTGATGGCAGTTCCCTTACCAGTAGGGTTAGAAGCTCCACTCTTTCAGTACTGAAGGATCCTGGGTTTTTTGACATGCAAATGTTGTGGCTGCCTCAGGTGTTCAGGAACAGAGTCAGGAGTTGCCTTTCCTCATGTATCTACTGCTCTTTTCCTTTAGGTTATGATGCCCTGAGCTATTCTGTGGAAGGCAGTGACAAGTGGAGCGGGAGACAGCTGCTGCAAGCACGGGAGCAGAACACGACTGACGTCCCTGAGGGCGGGGGGCAGCCATACGTCAGGAACTGCACTGAGCCAGGTAGGAATGAAAGCTGCCTCCAGCTCCTCGGTCCTGCAGTTGGCTTCCTCACCTCCAGACAGCTGTATTTCTAGCACCTGTACAGCACATTTACTGATTTTTTAAGTCCATAAACAGTGCTTTTCACAGCAGAGCTTGCATATCCTCAAGTTTTGGGGAGAGGAGGGAAGGGTTTTTCTCTGTTCTTTGGGACTTATGTAGGTTATGTGCCCCAAGAGAAATTCTAACACAGTTCTGACTGCACTTCCCTGCTATAATTTTTCCTCTACTATAATCCTTAATAACATTTCTGGACAGATGGATGATTATAGTCTTTTTTAAACAGCAAAAACTGGTACAAAAATTCTTCTTACTCAATTTTTGCTCGTTTGCATAACTCCAGTGTGGTACAGATCCAGGCTTACAGCATCTGCAGAGATCTTTCCCCTGCTGCGCTCCGTACCTCGGTGCCTGCCTTCCCCAAACAGAGGTCTGTAGGAAGCCTGTGGGATTTTATTTGTGGTGTGGGTTTTTTTCCCCCGCCTTCTCCAGAAGGTAGAACAATATTACTGAGTACATTGTGTTTTCTCAGGAGAGAGAAAGCAGAAATGCTGAGGCAAAATTACTGTTTCTTCTCTGGATTGTCATGGCATGACAACAGAATACATTCTGTAACAGAAACTGATTCCAAGTAGTGTAGAAAAGGAAGTGAAAGTGACAAAGTTTAGGGTCCCATGTGTTGCTTTTTGCATTTCATTTGGACCGTTGCCATAGTGTAAATGTAAATAGTTCCTGTCCGGCTGGATGGCAGTCAGGGGTGTTGGAAGGGCAGGGGGACACTACTGCAGTGTCTGTGGGGGTCACCTGTTGTGCCCAGTGGGCCGTAGGCCACCTGCAGGGTGCATCAGTTGTGCTGCTCAGTGAACTGGAGTGAGGAACAGAGCTGGTAAGGAGGGGTTCTGTAAAGAGCTTGTTCCGAATTTGTTTGTGCCGTCTGTGGTCGTACAGCGTGAGAGAGCAGAGGGGTCTTGGTTGTGCTTTGAAGAGAATTTTGGAATTTTCTGTTCTCCCTGCAACTTGGAGTGATGCCAGGCTTCCAGCACAAAATGGGCTGCCAGTCATGAGGCCATACAGCTTCATCTCACTGCTCCCTCCTGATGTGCAGTGAAACAGCTGCTGAGATGACATGGCACCTGACAGTGGAGCTGCTCAGCTCAGTCCAGTCTAAGGCAAGCTTGACCATCATCCCAGCAGGTGAGGATGAGGAGACCTTCAGCACAGTTCCTAACAGAAGCTTTTATGTTTAAAGGTGTGGACAGGGCTAGGGTGGTTCAAATCCTTGTACAGCCCTGACACCAATAGCTGTTGTCAGGCAAAGCTGATTGGAAGGCTTGATCCCACAGCCCCCAGGGCAGCACACTCCTTCCCCCAGCTGTGCTGGTGCTGGATGGGACCCCAAATAGTGTCACAGCAGTCGGGAAGCAGGGGTTTTCACCAAGCATGGCTGCCTTTGCCTTCTCTAAGTGCTTGCCTACACAGTGCTGCTTGAGGAAACCGGGGCGATATGGCCAAAATTGGGATGTTGCTGAGCATAATGCACAAGCGGTGCATAACCAGGGCCTCCGGGCTCTTGAGACTCGGGAATCAGCAGAGCTTAAACTGCTCGGCATCCCCGCAGGGCCAGGCCCGTGTGTGTTGGCGCTCGGGTGCTCCTCCTTCCCCTGGGCAGGTGTCGGGAGGGAAACGCTGCCTGGAAAGACTCGGGGTTTTTTTTTCCTGCCCGCTTCTCAGATGAACCTGTGTAAACACCTACAGCCAGGCAAAAGTGGGTGTTTTAGAAAAGCAGTTTCACCTCATTTGCTGGGGGAGGGAAACAGAATGCCTCATGTTGAAATGTTTTGTGTTTTTTTGCAATGCTTGGCTTTTGTACTCAGTTGGCAGTAAACATACCTTTACGTGCTGAAGGGAAGATCTCTGTTCTTTAGCTGCATGGGTGTTTGCAGGCTCATTTGAGTGCCTGCCATGACATTTGCTAACTGCTATTCTTATTTTCTAATGGTTTATCCTGGAGCCTATTTAGCAGCATTTTATCATCAGAACCACCCCAGACAGTGGGGTTTTGCTCATTTTTGATTTGAAACAAAAATGGTAGAAATGGGGTGAAATGGATAGACTGAATTCAGCCTAAAGCCTTTTTTTTTTTTTTTTTTTTTTTTTTTTTGGTCCTTTTGCTGAGAAATGCTCACTGTGGGCTCTGGCTTGGTCGTGTGGTTGGCTTTGGTTGTGTTGAGTGCCTGTGGAAGCAGAAAACAGAGCAGCCTGCTTTCTTTTCTGAAGAGCCTCTGGTCTCTTGTCTCTGGATTGCCCAGCTCTGCCATCGTACCTGCTTGTCCTATCCCTCTTGGATCCTGGTGGCTCCTCATGGCAGTGTCTGACAGTGCTGTCACACAGCAGATGCTCTTCTGACCTCTCCTACTGTCCCCTTGTCCTCATGGCCTCATGGTATCCATGTGAAGGTGTGTGGAACTAGAGATGGGCAAAATGTTGGACAGAGTTTATTCACAAAAACAGTGATATTGTTAAACACTTGCGATTTTGGGGCTAGGGTTTAGCTCATGCAAAAGATTATGAGGAAAAAGGGAGAATTACTTGTGTTATTTTGGGCAGAGTATCATTTACCCACCCAGTCCTATTCAGAAATGTGAGTCACCTGCTGGAAGCCAACAAGAAGGATTTAGCTGGTTTAATGTTGAGCTTGGGGTCAGGTCCCTGTGCTACCAAATTCAAATTCACAATTGCCCTGGAGAAACTCTGAAGGTTGCTGTCCATTCAGACTAGGTTTCTTCGCTGTCACGAAGGTGACAATCTCCTGGGCTCTGTCAGGATGGGACATAATGTGTCTAGAAATTCCTGTGGGAGGTTCTGGTGCCAGCCCTCATTAGCTCCTCTCCAGACTGACATATGCTTCCCCTGATGAGCTGTCATCACCATCCTCCCCTGGTGTTATCACTTCCACTCCCACCTCGGAAAGGCTGAAAATAAAGCAACAGCCCTACTTAAGTGTGCTGTTTTAAAGTCATTATCAGTAATAGCAGGAAATAGGTGATTGCTGCAGGAACGAAAAGATCTCGGTATATTCATTTAGAGCCCCAGGCACAAAAGTGTTTCAATTAAACAGCCAAAGAAGTTTTTATGCAATTATTTTTTACATTTCCTCATCTGATTTCAAAAGCAGCTTTCTCTTTTATCAATATTTCTCCAGTGACTCACAGCTTATGATAATGTAATTTGTAGTGCTTGGCTGTGGATCAGGTAACCCTTCCAGGCTGCTTGCTGGTCCTTTCTTTGGAGCCCTTTTGGTGCTGAACCACAAACCTTAGCCCACAAACCCAAATCCCCTCGGGTGAAGCTGTGCTTTCTCATCTCGTTCCCCTCACACGTTCTCTCCTCTCTTTGCACGATGACTTTTGCATATGTTCAACTTTAGGTGGTCTGAGTTCTCCTGGGTTGTCCTGCCTGGAATGATGTTCGGAGAGCTGCTGATGTTTCTGTGGGTTGTGTGTGGTCCCTTGGGGGACTGTCAGATAAAGGTGCTCAGGAGGTTGTGGCAGTGGCAGGAGGGTCTGGCAGGTCCCAGAGTTGTAGCACAGTCTGAGGTGGGGCTTGTCAGCTGGAAACAGGTGTGTTAAGTGCAGAACTCAAGCGCGGAAGACACAGAAATTAAATGTGGGTAAGATGTGCTTGTGATTTGAGTGGAGCCTTGATACCTGGGTGTGGAGGGTAGTGGTGACTCCTCCATCACTGCGGACTTCTCAGCCGTTGTACCTAGAGGTGCAGTGCCAGGCCTTGCTGTCTGACCATCCTTCTGCTTTTTGCCTCTGTACGATGCAAGGAGCCGTATCATTACAAACCTGGGGGTTGCTTTAGTGGGATGGGCCTGTGGATGGGAAATAGGAAGGCACAGAAAAAAAAAATTCATCTGTAATTTGTGTGAAAAGGTGCTGGAAGTAGCAGTGGGCAGAGAGAGTGAGATTTCTCTTGCTCACCCCTGCGGAGTTTCAGAAGGCCTTCTTCAGGAGCATATATAGTATGCCGTATGAAGAGTGATTTTTGGTTTGTTTTGTTTTCCTTTTTTTTTTTTTTTCTCCTTCTCTGACTCTAAATCCAATTAAAAAAAGTCACCTTCCCTGAAGCAAAATTAATTTTGTCCTAGCAAAATGAAAAGTAAAAATTTGTTTCTGCCTTGCAAGTTGCCAAACCTTGTTTTCACTCATGGGAATGTTAGAAAAATAAATTGTTGTTAGTTTAGATACAAAATGTCCTCAAGGAATAGAAAAAAAGATCTTGTTCTCTCCCTGAGCCATAAATTGGGTGAATTTGACAGAAATTTGTTTGAACTTCTGCTCCCACGCTCTGCTTCTGTTTGTTTGTCAACTCGAGACCTAAAGTGTCAGAAAACTGTGATGTTGGGGTTAAAACCTCAGAAATAAAAACAAAACCATGCTTATTTCATCTGGGTTTCTGTGCTGGTTACCCCTTCCTGCAGCCTGGAAGGAGAGACGTTCTGCTGATGGCACCAGGTGCTAGGGTTGGGTGGCACGTGCCATCAGCCAGTGGTTTTGGCTGGGTCGGGTGCCCTGACAGCTGCATCTCTGGCTAAGGGGACTGTGAAAGGCAGCCCTTGGGTTTGGAGTTCCCACAGAGCCTGCTGGCTTTGTTCGTTGGAAATGCTGCAGATGATTTCCCTTTGCTGTGCTGCATTCTGGATTCTCTCGAGGCTTGGGATTTGCTTTCTGAGCTGGGTTTTGCAGGATCTTTGGGACTGTTGCACCGCAGGATCCCGTGGCAGTAAGACGTGGTCACAAGTACTTCCTTTAGGACTTTTCAGTCATCTAAGGGGCCAACAGCCCACATGTGGCTGAGTTATGTTGCAGTACAGGTGAGCAGGTACCTGAGCACCTCCCTCTGAGGCAGAACCTGCTGTGTTCTGGCAGCAGGGCTTTACCTGGACAGTGTGCCAA